CCATGTTTTATGGAGCCACAGTTGCCACTCTTAATGGCAACAGGCGCTCTGACGTATGCTCCAGACCACCAGAATGGCACTGTGCCTACAGCTCATGCTGTGAAATTGCCCAGAGACTTGGCGACCTGGTTAGGCGACAACAGATTTAGTGTTTTAATTCCCAATACTAGGTTTCCAGTGCTTGAGGCCCGCAAAATATGATACACCACGCTTAGTGACTGAGAACTAATCGCTGTGCCCCAACCCCTCCTGCTAAAAACCTAGAGTTTTGTGTAGCATCAGTTGTCATCTAATCAGCCCCACATGCCTGTTTCACAACAACGTAGTGCCGTGGATAATAGAGAGTAAGCAAATGCAAGACATGGCACGTCTTCAGTCTAACGGCTGCACGTTTTCCTTTGGAGTCAGCCACACTAACTTGGCTAATTTCACTCTCTGAGTGAAGGAATGACAGGTTTAACATTTGTGCGCCCCTGTGGATGGGCACTTCAGGCCGAGTTACGTACCTGTGGCCAACTACTTCAAGGAAACGCAACAGCCAGATGCTATTCATTTAACAACTAAACGAAGTGAAAATCACATTCTCTGTAAATCACGTTCAGGTATTGGTTCTACTGGGACCAAAGAAAAAAATATGCACATTGACAAAAATGGCAATGTCTCCACATAAACTCAGAAGCTACAGATTTTGCAGCAAGAAAAAAAGAAGGAGCAGTATAGATTGGGGTGGTGATGGCGCAATGGATAAGACACATTGCTTTGGTGTAACAGACCCGGGTTCAATTCCCCACTGTGACCCATCCACCATTGTGTCCCTGAGCAAGACACTTAACCCCTAGTGGCTCCAGAGGCCTGTGACCTCTGTATAGCAATTGTAAGTTGCTTTAGATAAAAGCGTCAGCTAAAAGAATAAATGTAGATTGGCTGGGTGTCAACCCAGGAATTCCTTTCCTCTCTTACAGTAACTTCTCTTTGTCAAACTAAAGAGGTGGTATTATACTCATTTTCAGGTTCATAATCTTATTTAGATGTTCTACCAGAACAGTTTCATTTTCAAAAAACAGCATATTTTTTGTCATACAGAACATTGCTGCAGCTCCTCTTTTCACCTTGTGTTGAAGGCTTCGTTTTAGCTATGGAGTGATGCATCTTTTCTCTAAATGATCTTTGTTGGGAGTTGCACATGCGCAGTTCCTAGTTAAGGACTACTAGCCAATCAGAAGCAGAGAAGGGCGGGTCAGTGAGAAGACGGTAAACAGCTTCGGTTCAGCTGGACATGTTGCCGCCCAGCTTGGCAACATGGACTGGAGCATGGTGAGTTATTAATCTGTAACAAAAGGATCTTTCATCCATAAAGTTTTAACTGAGCTCTGTCTCTACATCACAGTAACAACTTTATGTCCACTGACTGCCTGGAGGGTAGCTAGTGTTTGGAAGGGAGAGGAGAGGCAACAGGCGGTTGTGTCGGACTAGCCGTAAGGCGAGCATTATGACACGCATTTTGCTGTGACCTCACAGAGAACAAAAGGAAAGGGCTGGACTACAAACGAGCTGTTTTCAGAGCAGAGTTTTCTGTGGGAGATGGGAACTCACTTTGGGCTGGACTTTGGGCTTTTTCACTTTGCAAACCTATTACATGCACAAAAAAGAGAGATAACTCATTAAAGGAGAGGGAAAAAGCCAAAAAGCATAATACCACCTCTTTAAGCTGAAGTGACAACACCTGTGTTACCACCTCACATCCAGGGTGCTCCAAGCAGTCTCCCCATCCTTTCCCCTGGCCTCATGACACGAGGCCTAATAACAGAAAATGTCTTCCTCTGCCACATCAAAGCAGAGTCGACCTGCTGTGGCCCTGATCCTTTGCCAGCTTCCCACTTTCAAACACAGCCACACAAGGCAATTTAATAAGAGATGGACAGCTTATGTCTGCCACCCAGGCTCAGTCAGTCAGTGAGCAAATCAGCAAAGCAGCCAATCAGCCAGGACTGCTGTGAAACTAGACCTCTGCTTTGTATCACTGAGCCAGACATCGAACAAGCTGTGCAATAGCTGCGTAACATGCCGGGCTCAACTAAAGGAGGCCATTACAGAGAGAAGAAATATTCAAAAAACATAAACTAAATGATTACTGTGTATAAAATATTGTCTGTTGGTGAATCAGGTCAGCAGTAGAGAAACAATTTCCTAATAAAAGCCCTAATAAATTAACAAGAAACATACAGTAGAGCAGGAGTGGAACAAAGTTTCAGTCTCACTGATAAAGTGGATGAGAATGACAAGGTTAATGAATCCTAATACAATTTAAAAGAAGAAATTACATGTAGCATGAAAGAGTCCAGTTGCTTCATGCCTTTCATGCCAGCCTGAACTCCCAAAGCTGAACACGTGAGATCCAAGAAACTGAAAGATCTGGCTCACAGGAGTAAACACTTTAATGCGCTGTGCAGAAATCAACCCAACTGGCATGGGGAGCTCTGTTTGCTATGGCTTTCTATTTTATTGACTGTGACATGTTTACCACTTGTTCAGTTTTGAAACAATGGTCTATTATCCCCATCATATAGTGCTGGACTGCTCATGTGGCACTGTTACACTGTTTTGGAGTCAACCTGATAACTCATCCTTAACGTGGACAGAGTCAGGCACACATGGAATGCAGACGACAGGGCTTTAAAGCTGAAATTTTATCTTGTAAAAATACTGATGCTCTACCAAGCTGTTAAAAGCAGAGCATGTTTGCTTTGGTAAAAATACGTAAAAAGTGTTTTCCCCTATATTACCTTACATTTCAGGTTTGTACAATAATACAATGAACAATGTGTTTATTTCTATGTGCATGGGTTACATTATTTTTTGCCATGTACCCTTTCAGTCACTTAGATTTACAGAAATAAGCATCCACAGATGTTACATATTCACAAATAATAGAAAGACACATGCTGTCATTTCTTCATCATTCCACAGATTGCTCTTACAAAGTTATCATGTACTCCTGTCATGTGCCCGCCTGTGTTACAGCTGATGGTTCACAAGTGGTTTCAAAGCCTTAAAGTCTGAATCTTTCATGGACACAGGTGAAAACGTCCTGCTGGTCTGGATCTCATTTTTTATCTGCAGAGGGCCAGATTACTTTGAGGCGCGCACACACACACACACACACACTATTATTATTATACTATTTTCACACATCAAATTCAGAAAAATGATCATGCCACTTACATATGCCTTCTATCAGAAGTTAAATTAAACTTTCTGCATGAGTGAGCATGCAATGCTAAATGTGATGGCAGCACATGGCCAAGACTCATGAAACAGAAATCTTAGAAATCTTAGATCATGATGTGTGGCTTTGATAAAAAGGACTATGGGTGGGGGTTGTTTGAGTTGAAAGGTAGGAATATGCATTGAGATGACGATGCCAAATGGTCTACGTGTGAAAAGGTTTACACAGAGTCATGTGCATTGAAATCTGTCTCTTTCTCTCTGGTGCAACAAGAAACAATATATTACATGATCACAATTCGCTATTCTCAGTGGTTTAACAAGCTAAGTCAGTCTAGTCAGTGTTTTTTGTGGTTTTCTGCAAGTCACAATGGCGTATGTATGCTTGTGTACATATCTGGGAACTAAGCACGCGTTTAGTCTTGACATTTATTATAATACAGTAAAATCTATTTGTTGATTGAAGTGACCTGATTTGATGGAATGAGCGTCAGATTAGGGTTTAGTGTAAATGTACACTGACCTCACAATGTACAATAGAGCGCCAACCCTGAACAATGGCTTCCACTTTGCATTCATTACATACATTGTTATTTAGAAACATGACAAACTATATCTAGAGAACTTTTTTCAAAACACAACAGGCCGCTTTATTGTTTTCTTTGGTGTTTTCAGGAAGCACTTATTTTCATTTGTCTAAAATGTTTTCTTATCTGGCTTACTTGCTTATTCTGAGACTGGTAGAAATATGGCAGACTTGGATATTGGCTAGCAGCTTGTGGTCTGGTATTAGAACTAAAGGCTCCCAAAGTGCAGTGGTTTGAAGTCAGCCACCTGCTATCGCTAATTGGCCGGTCTTATTCAGTGGAGTGGTCCTTCATTCTCGCCTGGGTGAGGAGGAAAACAGGGAATGGAATGCAAATTGCTGATAAATGTCTGAGGAATGGATAGAGGGGAGTAACCCAGGTCAACACATTAGGTGTACTTTAATAAGCACAGATGGGTCAAGAGTTCAACCCTCCCCTGAGGTGTTTTTGAGAGAAAGACAAACCAACTTATGTGCAAAATGTTACACACACACTGTCTGCTCCTTCAAAGGAACCTTAAAGGATAAGAAGATATCCTATATTTTTCTTTTTGTCAAAGGATCCCATGAAAAGATCAAGTGATTCTACAACAAGAGCTCTAGCTGGCATTGTCAGACTAACTCTCAAATGAGTATTTGTGTGGAACCTCTCAGTTCATTTTTGATTTCAAAGGGGCGTAGACCAAAATGCCTCTGGACACAATTGGACAGACCTACAACTAACCAGTTTCGTGACCTTGGTGCATTATGCAGGTCCGGACCTACAACGAAATGTGTGACTTTTCAAATCTGGACCGGTGAAGCTCCTCTGTCATTGGTCGTATCAAACCTGCTCCATATTAGATAATGGGTGATGTGAAGGGTGGAAATCTGTCTGAATAAGAGGGGGGTCAGACATACCTGCCAGAGCAGATGAAACATGAACTCGGCAGATTCATCTGGTGTGGTATTCGTATAGTAATTGGTTCAAAAACAGCTTTTTTAAACCTCAGTTTGTAAACACAGTAGATCCCCTTTGTATAAAAAATTCCACTATAGTGGAAACAGGATAAAAATGTTACACTAAAACTAGAGTAATCAATACATTTTCTTCTCTCAAAATTTTATGGTCCTCAAATTTGTTTGCCCAAAAATTAGTTCCATCCACAGAAACAAACATTGTTGCACTATGTGTTTGTTCATATATTACCTGGGCAATGTTCTTGTTGAGTAAGTAGACACCATATTCAAAATGAAACCGCTCTCCTCTGGGGTACAAAGGGAATCTGTGAAAGACAGGAGAAAAAGATAAACAAGCCGTTACACAGGAACAGGTCGTGTATTCCACTTAATCCATTAGCAACAGAGTCTAGAAACTTGAAACTTGAAATTAGAAGTTTTTAAGACCCCCCTTCCACACACTCATAAACCAACTAAGTATAATTGAGCTTATAACAATATATCTATACTGCATAGCACACTATGGGTCTATCCATGTGAAAATGCCAATAAGGAATGGTGGGATTAAAAGGGGGTTCATTGCTTATTAATGTTGCTTTGAGGGATTCAAACAACTGTTGCGCATAGGCTCTGCAACAGGCAAAGAATTCTTCCCGTCACTGAAAGTGGCCGTTAATGTAGCCGACAGCGTTTACAGTTGGTTACACTTGCAGATGCTTGAAGAAGCAGGGTCTGGGTCTATGGTCCCATCCCACAGACGCCATCTCCGTACCGTGTTAAACTGAAATATCAAACAGAAGGGGAGGCGTCCCAACAGCCTGTCCATCTGCATCTAAGGTGGAACAAAGAGAAATTTTCCTTTCAGTATGGTGGGAAAGTCCCATCAGCGCCAGTCAGACGTCTTAGTTAGTACTGCACAGAGAGTGCTCATGAAGGATGGGGAAGATAGGGGTAGGGTAGAGAGGGGGCATGCTGAAATTCTCTTTGCTACCAGGGACTTAAGGCTGGACTCATCCCTTCCTGTCATTATGTGCTTATGTCAGCTGATCTCCCACTGAGGAGGATACAGAATTTTGGGAAACCAGCTCCATGAACTGAGCAGGGATTCAGTCTTACAACACACACACACACACACCTGTTTGCATCAACACACTTGAGATGACCTCTGTTATCTACATTCATATCTTAGCCCTTCCTAAACTCCATCTCTAAAAGCTTCACCTTAGCTTTTAGAGTAGCAATAATCTAATCCCATTCTTAACCTCTCACCCAAACACTGCATTTTCTGAAATGGGAGGAATGTCTTTATTTCAGAAGATTTTCAGTGCTCATTTCTGCACATGAAACCGACATCTGGTCTTTGTAAGAACAAAAATCCAACAACACACATGTGAGACATTACCACGGCCAAGTACTGTCATAAGCATACATACACACAGACGCAGCATACATGGAGTCAGTCAAATACACAGCTGTTGCTTTTTGGTTACTAGCTGTTGCTGCCAAAAGGCCATGTCAAAGGGAAACAACAAGCAGAGGAAATATTATTGTAAAGATAAGTCTTTCCATCTGAAAATGAATAAATAAAGCTTGCGTTATTGTCTAATGTCATACGAGGGAGGCCCACATCAAACCAACAGCACATGATTGTGTTTGGAGCAGCACCTTGGTGCATCACATATAGAAACTCCCACAAATGACAATAAAATGCACCATCTCATTTAATTAAGTGGCTGCCACTCTTTTATGTGACAGTGTTTTCACTTGCTACCGGAGTTAGGTCTGCAAAAAAGGGGTCTACTTCATCATAAAGACATTATGGCTATTATTGGAAAACTGAAAGGGGAATCGAGGCTCTTCAATTGGAGTCTAAATTCTAAAATGTGACACAAACACATAAAGCCATATCCTAACAGACCGAACGCGTGACCACTTCCATAAGATGTGCCTCTCTTATTAAATGACAGTGCTGCCAAATGCATGTGCGTGTACTGTACAGTATGTGCAGACGAGACGAGAAGAGATATGTTGAATGTGTGTGTGTGTGTGTGTGTGTGTGAATGTGTACTGGTGAGTATATGCTTCCGGCCTCCTCTGTGTGTGTGTGTGTGTGTGTGTGTGTGTGTGTGTGTGTGTGTGTGTGTGTGTGTGTGTGTGTGTGTGTGTGTGTGTGTGTGTGTGTGTGTGTGTGTGTGTGTGTGTGTGTGCGCCCCCCGGGGACTGGGTCATGGTCTTTTGTTAATCCTGTGTGAGAGCAGATTTGGAGCTCTTCATTCCCTCTTACTATGACCTCTAGGTGCCTGAGGCAATGGGAGAATACAGCAGAAAATAAACTTCCTCTGTCCTGGCACTTCATTGGCCTTTACTGTCAACTGAGATCATTCTAACAGCGCTGTAACCCTGCAGGTTAATGTATTGATTCAGATGTGCTTGTGGCATTTTGAAGGCCAGATTTTACTCAGATCCCACATTTCAGTATTCCAGCTGTAAAAGCTTTTGCCCTTGATGACATGAACTTGCCCAAAGACTTTTAACATGATGTCTGAGTTTCTCTGATTTGGCTTTAATTCATTTCTTGCAAGTTTGTTTTCTCCTACTAATATCTGAGCCTGTCTGGAGATCTCAGACAACATCCTGACCTAGTGCTCACTGTAAACACCTCCTCACTCACACATTACACTACAACCCTTTAACAGATGGAGATGGAGCCCCAGAATTAATTCTAACATGATGTTGCTGCGAAGGCTGGCAAGTAAAAAGGCTCTGTAGGCTGAGGGCCACACAGCCAGCCACATTTTCACCCCTTATATCCCCGACATGCAGCCAGGGTCTCATGGAGAAAGCAACATGCCAGAGGACATATCTCAGCACTAGGAAATAACTAACAGAGAGAGGAAGAACAACAAAACTGGCATTCCCCTCACACTGCTGGCATTTCCAATATCACTTCCCCACGTACAGATAGGATTTGTTTGCTGATGAACACGCATGAGAAGGAAAACAGACACACTTCCAACCCACACACACACACGCGCGCGCGCGCGCGCGCGCGCGCACAAACACATGTACACACACAGGCTCCGTCACAGCAAGGTGATTAATGACTGCTGTCCACTGTGTCTGAAATCACACTGGATAGACTCCGGTTCACCAAACACCAGGAATCCCTCCTGGGGACGTCCAGGAAAGTTAAATATATTATTACACTCCAGAAAGAAGGTCGAGGGAGGAAGTCTGCGGACGGACGGAAGGGAGGAGGAACCAAAATAGTATGATTCAGTTAGGACATATTAATTATTTTATATATTATCTAATCTGACCAGCTTTGTCCCACTGAGATTAAGATGCTTGTCAAAGGAGTCCTTACCAAGACGGCGCTCAAAACAAGCATACATAAAATAAACATAAATCACTAACAAATAATTCATTTTGATGTCAAAAGTGTCACTTTTTTTCATCTAACTCAGTTCTGACCTTGGGGACAAACAGCCATTGCATTGAGACATAAGGAATAGCAGAGTAAGAGGAGACAGAGCGCCATTTTTAATCGCTAAGCCAGCAGCAACAGCATCAAGTGAAGCAGTCCTCTACACTAAACAGGATGAAATAAATTAGAACCAAAATCAGTACACTGTCTGTCCATCAGGATGGAGTGTCCAGAATAAACAGACACAAACCAGAAAGACTCACACACAGGTCGGAGAAGTACTGTTTATGGCACTAAGTGTGCTTTCCTGCTAGCCCATAACAATATGTTTACATGTTGTTTGCAAATGAGCTCATGCTTACTTTGCCTTTTGTACCGTTTAATTTTTGTGTTTAATTTTGTTGAACATGTAAATCAAATCAAATCATCTCTAATCATCTCTATCTCAGCAGCCCTCCTCATTTTTCTTCGCTTTCCTTAATCAAGCTTTTTCTTCCATCAGCACATCCCTCTCCTGCTCCCCTTAGTGGAAGCTCTGTTGAAGGGTCGTGTCCTCGAAGCTAACACAGCAAACTGAATATGACAGGCAGCAAAATCAACACACCCATTCACTTTAGATTCCATTTAAAAAGACTGATTACTGAAACGTGAAATCTGCTTTCATTTAGCTAATATTCAACTCTGCGTGCACTGGACAGAGAGATGAAAAAAGAAATGACAGCGAGTTGATAGCAGAAATAAATCTGTTTCTGGAACAACCCCCCATAAAAGAATGCCCATCTCTCTCCTTTTCATCTGCCCTTCAGAGCAATCTCACCACAGGATAGTTAACGTGCAAGCACTGGCTCTGTGTGCAGACACACAAATATGTAATTATTAAGTGTGGAGCCATGACATTGTAAAAAGACAAAAGCTGCATCTCACAGGAAAGTCCCCTGTCTGCCTGAGTGAGAATGTGTGTGTCCCCAGCCTGCCAAGTCTTTAACTGCAGGGTCTAGACACAGACAACCTCAAAATATAAAGGGGGAACTCAAGAACCAATAAACATATACCGACAATGATGAGGTGAAGTAATAAGAAGTTCTTTGCGCTTTCTTCCTGTCCATTTCTTTTAATCCTGTTGAGGGATCTTTTAATAGTAGGCTGAGTTACAGTTCTTTCATCTTTGAGTGATCCACCACCACCAGTGTTTGCACTGTCTCCCTGGACTGCACTTGGGGGCCTCCTAACAGGTGTCAGCAGCACATGATGTCTTTTATAGCCTCCGGTTAAATGGCCACATTTGTGGGCTATTTGTGCAAAGAGAAAGGGTGAGCTTACTACGGCCCAAAGACTCTAGGTAAAGTTTCATATGTGCATTTTGCTTTGTACATAAACCCATTTAAAATGGACATTGGTTTCTGGAGTTTTACAACAATGCTAGAGCCAAAATGGAGGCCACTGAGTTCACTTGAGCTTTTGGTTTTTTGAGTTTAAATGATCTTCGTTACAGGCAGCCCTGTCAAAAGCAGACCATTAGAGAACAAAGGCCATAAGGTCAGTGGGTGCTTCTTGTGCAAACTATAGAGTGAACGTATATTTAAGCATGTTATAGTATATTGGACACCTCTCACTTCCCTCTTGGGTGCACAGTATTAAACGTAGGAGTATAAAGGAGGACACGGCTATGCAGGTGGGTGGTCGCGCTCAACTTTACTATGGTTCATGAAAACACGCTGGGAAGACTCCTAGTGACCGGCTGACCTGCTGTAATGTATACACAGGCTGAGGGCTCCACATGTGCTGGCTTGCCTGTTTAGACATCCTAATTAATACTCCAAATGTGCAAAACAACAGTTCTGGCTCACATGTTGGAGACGAGGCTTGGCCAGGACTTACACCCCTATTTTAATAGTGAGG